ACCACTCTGCCACAACGCCGTATGTCATTGGATACTTGTCTCCCTTGGACATTTGCAATAAGTAGCCCCAACGGAGCTGTCGATTCCTCGACTCCTCCCCGCCTCAGAGTCTCCGGATTACACTCCTGTTCGCCACCTGGCCGCCTGCCGTGCGTGGTGGGGGCGGACGCACGGTCCTGGAGCTGGAGCAACAACATCTGCCGGTCCAACCTCATCAGCAACCTTTTTTCCCGTCCGGTGGCATCGACACCATGGTTGAGTATGGGCCTTGTCGGTCTTTTTTAACCTTTGCTGATTCGTGATGATGTAATATTTAGTCTTTTCTGATTCCATGTATCCCTTCCGCACCCTTCCTACACAAGTCTGCATGCACGTAGCTTTTGCCCTTCCCCGGGAGGGGGGTTGTTGTCTCTGGTTCTCAGTTCGGAAAAATAAATAAGAGTCCATCAAAAACTCTACGTGCGTCGGTTTTCGGGCGAAAAGATTGGATGCCAGAAAGGTTCGCATGGGGGGACGCTTGGCTTTTTTTTTAGCTCTTCGTTCTACCTAGTCTTGACGATTGATGTCTTTTGATATCTGTGCTCGGAAGTGTCGAGCGTCTTCGATATGGGTCGACGCCACTCTAAGATGATGACGGTGATGACGGTGATGATGATGATGATGATGATAACGGTAATCAGTGCGTCCGCAAAGTCATTTTCTTGTCCCCCCCATCTTGACTCAGTCCGAGGTGAACCGGGTCTCTTCGCGGCTGTTGCTTCGGCCGTGGACCCGCCCCATTTTCCCCATTTGACCATGACCGTAACGGGAACCGGGCGGACGCTCAGGGCTACCCGTCCGACTGGAATGTCCCTTTCCCCTTCCCTCCCCCTTACTCGATGAACGCTCGATCCCCGCGTCGATGACGTGCCCCTCATCCGCGAGACGCTCCCGATCGGGGGTCGAGAAGAAACCCCTGGCCAGATCGGATGGCGCGACGAGGGTGAGAGGGGAGGGAGGAGGAGGACATTCCAGTCGGACGGGCAGCCCTAGGCGACGAAGCAGCGTCCTTCCCCTCCGGTCCGAGAGGTGCAATGTCTCGGGGCGGTACTTCGCTGTGGGACTTTTTGGAAAACGAATGGCGGTCGATTTGAGATCTCCAGACTGCGTGGAGGGGCAGTGTCATTGCCGGGACATAGTTGTGCTTGAGATGGCAACCAGGAATCACCACCATCATCATCACCACCACCACCACCACCACCACCACTATCACTCACGAGCGTGTTGATACGCACCAACTTCTTTGAAGCCAAGTTAGTTTTGGGGGGGGGGAAGGTGTGCAGGAGGACTAGGATCTTTGGGAGGGGAGGGGGGGCTGAGTCCTACAGCGTCGTCTGTAGTTGGACCCCTTTTTTCTCCGACCTTTCCCTTCCTTGGTGTACCATAAAGTTGAGACATCCCGGTTCGCTGCGACTCGGGATGCTTTCAGCCGTGCAAGGTGGTTGCGGGAGTAGCATTGCTTGATGGCTGGCTGTCTGTCAAGGCGACAACGTACTCGTTGCAGATGCGCTTCTTGTTCCTCTTTTTTCTTCGAGCTTGGCCTACATCAGGAGGCACTCGGACGAGTGATGACGAGAGTAGCCCGGGAGACGGATACGTCTGGAAACCTCCAAGACCATCGCCGGGATCCTTGCTGGAGCCGCGAAGGCTATATGGCAATGGGCCTCTGGCGGCTGTCCTAAACCGTGTGGTTACCACATGCCTTTTTGTTGTTCTCTCTCTGGCAGAGTTGATTCATGGTAACATAGACTCCAGATTCACTTCCACGTAAACTGGTTCTTGGGCGCCGGGGTGGGGGGACATGGTGAGAAAGGAATCACTCTTGCGGTTGGTCCCGCACACGCGCGCGCGCGCGCGCGCGCGAACTCTTCGGACACGTGCGAGCATGGCAACGGTGACCAGCAGAGAAAACGCCCGATGAACGCATCGCCCCTGCGGAAGGGAATCGGCGTTTCGCCCGCCCACCTCTCCGCGCGCTGGACAGGAAGCACGGCTTTTCAAGCGAGGTGTAGTGGACTTTGAGTTTCTGATTCGAACGTGTGGTGGTGGGAGGGGCAAGAAGGGAACCCTCGATGGTTCAGGGGGATGGTTGGGAGCTTGACGCAGTTGGTTGGTCGGTTCGAAAAGATTGTAGCAGGAGTACAAAAGTCTATGTAGTCGACATTGTCAACGTCAGTGGTCGAAAATAGAAATAGTTTTTATTTATTTCTTTTTCTTTTCTTCTCTATGGAGGGGGCATCTTGAAAAAAAATATCCTTGTGATGTTGAGTGCGAAGCAAAGACCTCTCTGGCTTACACCCGGGGTTGATACCTACTACCCTGCATGCGAATGCGTAACCAGGATGGCCTCCGTAGAACTTGAATAGATGCTACCGCACTGCCTGCAAGTGTGGCTCTCTCCACCAGCCTATGAGGGCTCCTTTAATGATTATCAGTTACGAAGCAACGCGGTTTATTTGGCGCTCGCTCATCCTTGAATGTTGGCCTTGTAGCAACATCGGGGGCTGCTCGGCAGTTCGGCAACACTCACCAACGTCACGTAAACATATGCTTGCTTTCATTGTAAAAGCAAACACATATAGAGTATACAAGAGACGGTCAAGGAGAATCTGAATCTGTGGCTACTTGGGTGTGCCTCGTTTTGTTGGCGCTGAGAAACGACCAAGTCACTGTGACTCCAACATGCTTGAAGTCGGAAACCACTGCTAGACCAGACATCAGAAGTCCCAGAGCAGTTAGTCTGGGAGGTATCTTGTATAGTTCAGATGATGAGGGTCTTTTGGCAAGCGCAACGCCTCGTAGTTGATGGCCAGGCTGGGGGCGTGGGCCACCGTGCAGCCGGGGCACGCTGAGGAAGTCTCCAGAGTCTCGAAAGCGTTATGGCAGTACCAGGTTGCAAGTTCATAGCTAGGAGCTAACACATCTACGCTATCACAATCATGGATGGTGTACTTGGAAAGACGCCTCACATAAGATAGAAAAGTGTAGGTAAACTCGGTCGTGAAGTAGGCCGGAGTATGCTGGCTCTGGCCTAGATGGGGACATGGTTGCCGGTGGACAACAAGACCTGCAACTTGTTAACAAGGGGGCGGCAGGGCGCTTATAGATGTCGTGTAATTCTTGTGATAGGCCTCCTGAGAATAACCCGTCTTCAATGCTGTCCTTCTAATGTCCCGCCTCACGGCAAGATTGCATGTGCCAAAGAACCAACCCCTTTAATCGCCTACGTCTTTGTGGGGTTCGTTGACATCTTGACGCTCAGCTAGATAGTTACATGTTGACGATATGGACGAACCTGTCCGGGATTTGTGATATTTCGTCGTGGAGTTGTTGGCCAGCGCGGTAGGCCAGCAGGAGACCGGATTCCTGAGAGATCCCCTAACCATCCCTACCTAGTCGAAAGGAAATGGAGATATCCATGGTTTCAACCAAAGGCACGGCGTTCGCTGAACTATCGGGCAAAGACTAGGTCCTTTTCGAACTTCTCCTGCGATGGCTTTTAGCTGACACGTGGCCCTCGATTCTAGGAATACTTGTTTCGCCTTTTACACCTATAAACGATTGCCCCGTTGTCTTAAAAAGCGGCAGATGTGTCTGGAGCGTCTATAGGGACATGGAAAAGGGGCAGTTTTTGCACCGGCGTCTACTTCCCGGTGGTTCTTCGGACGTATCTAGTATATTTCAACCAAGACTCGGCGCTAGATGATGGAAGCACGTTCGGATTGGAACGCATCAAGGACGACTGCGTGTCTCTGGTCCGGGTCACCAGGATTGACACGCCGGCTTCGAGGACAGACGTGGCATCCCCATACTCACGCCGAGGCCCTTGGCGGCAACACTGAGCTTAGGTAATACCAGAGGGGGCTTCGATATCTCATAGGCGAAAGTGGTACATAGTCAAGGCCAGCAGATGTAAGAGGAAGCTGATTCAGGACGAGCTTGGTAGTCCAATCGTACATTGAATGCCAAATCCGCTTGGCTTTCTGTTTTGCTTGCCTCGTCTGTCTGAGCCTACCAATCCGCAAAAGTGGCAGATGGGCCACGGCATGTGCCACCCGCTGTCCCTCCTTCCGAGTGTCACCGCGGGAAGAGAGGCGGAAAGAGGATGGGGGGGGGAAGGTGCGTTGCACTGCGCAGACGAGCCTATAAGATGTAACCAGATCACGTGGAGACGAAACCGGTGCCGTCAGCCCATACCCCACGCCCGCTACTGCTGCATCGTACTTTCATGCGCCGTTGTTTTTAAACCCCAAAAGAGAAAGCAACCACCGCGGCCCGAATCCGAGACGTCTAGCCTGCAGCTACTCAGGCAGGCTTGTGGCCGCCAACGCATCTGTGCAGGAATGTGCTCATAGAGACGGCCTTAATGTGTTAACTTCGCGAGCGAATGAGGCGTCTGGGCACGTTCGTGATCCGGGGGGAGATCGAATCGAATGAAGAGCCTGCATGGCTTCCGCGACGGAATCCCCTTCACGGCATCACACCAGGATGCTTGACGCTGACTTTGGAAGCAGGGCGGTGTCTGCCAACCCAATGGTACCCGGTCGATTGGCTGGTAGCTGCATCACGATGCGGTACGGGAGGGAGGGAGTGAGGGACTACCTCATGGTTGCAATGCCTGCTTCTCACCACTGGCCCATCGGTCTCTCTTGTGTCTCGCAGCTCGTCCGCCGCGAACAAGAAACCAGATCTGGGGTTTTAGTCGCACCGAGCATGCGGATCATTGGCTATGGTCCCAACTGGCTAACGAGAGGTTGACATTTGCAGCCTGTTTAACCCGATAAGACAAAAACAAATGCAAAAATGAGGCTTGCAAGGCAGAATTGCAGTTCTGACGGTCCAGATACCCCGCTCCTGATCGTACCTCAAAACCGCAGAGCAATCGGGCATTCCTCAGCACTGTCTGTTCCGGTCATCCTCTGTCTTCCTACTCAATCGCAGTGAACGACCTCTTGTGCAAGATGGCTTCCTCTCCTGACATGGCCGGCATCGCCAACCTAGGCAGCCAGCTCGCTACGAAGCTGGTGGCTTACGAGATCGGCACGTCGCGTTCGGACTATTCGATCCATAGGCTGGTCGAGGATATCTTCGCAACTACAACAGCACTCGGTGAGCTTCGAGAGTTCCTCGCTGCTGACGCTAGCGCGGCGTTACCTGTCTACAAGCGTGCCGGACGTGAAGCCATTGAAGATCTCGCAACGCGATGCGGCAAAGTCTACACCACCATCATCCGTATCATTTACCGAGCCAGTCTCGCTGCCAAGGTTGTCGAAGGTGTTGATTTTGAGGCGCTTAGCCCCCAGGATCTGAAACCTTCCAGGCTCATCGCCATCCAGGCCAACATCAAGTGGGGGTCGGTATCAGACGCTTTTGACGACTGCAGAGACCAGTTGCGCTGGCTCAAGCCCAGTCTTTTGCTGCACCTACAAGTGGCCAATATCGCACACCTGCAGACCACGTGAGCCCTCCTACCTGTCGACCTACTCGTATTGTGTTGCTAACGCTGCCGTGAAGATTCAGAGCTCCTGGAAGTTTCGACGATGAGTTGGCCTCGAGGGCGCTAGCAATTCGGATGCTGACGCGCAAGGTGAGGATCGCTAGGTCAATTGTCAAAGCTGCCGAAAGGAAGGAGAGACTGGCATTGTCAGACAAATCTGACACCATGAGCGTTACTTCTGACGCGCCATCTTCAAAAGGCGACGATTCCAAAGATGATACAGTATCCTGGATGTCTGGCAAAACGGCCAAAGACTCAACCGTGCCGTCCATCCGTGGCGATAAGACAGTTGGGAAGGCTGATGTACCTCCTGTCTCGAATCCTGTCGCGCCACCTCCGCCTCCGCATCTCGCTCCAAAAAGTTTCTGGCACCAGCCTCGGGACGGGGGTCCTGATGCCAGCCCTGTTGAAATCAAATTGCTGGCCCCGAAGCGCCGGTTCCCGGTCGAAGTCTTCAAGAGCATGGGGAAATGGGTCAAGGGTCTCTTCCGCCGCAATACCACCCTTGGCCTCAACGACATGGAATTGGAGGCGACCATTCTGAGACACGGGCCGTTACGCGAGCAGGTCCTGGCATTTGAGCAGAATATGCTACGCCTGGAACTGAAGCGCATCCTAAAGCGCCGTTCCGATGCCTCCAATGACGCGTTGGTCCCCCAAGACAGCCAGATCCGCTCAGCTGTTTCGAACGCCCTCCTGCGTGCTCAGGAGAAGGACGGAAGGGTGAGACAGCTGATCACTGTCGATCTCGAAACGCAGCCCGATGTCGCCGTTGTATTTATGTCTGTCAAGCCCGCCCTGGAGCCTGTCCACATGACAGACGTCCTCGGCCGCAAGTACGATCTACCATATGAGCTGTGTCGGACTGTTCAAGTAAGTCCCACTTCCCAAGATGGCATGCGTCGACCATGTAAGAAACTGACGTGCATTCTTCTGTCAGGGTGCGCGTATGTGCATCCGCGAACGCTTCAAAGATGTTAACAGGCTGTGGCCCATCGTGAGGGATGGAGCATTCGAAGTTGTCGACGAGGAAGACACCGTCATCATACCAGAGGCGTGGGCAACAACAATTAAGCCAGGGGCCGTTGTCAAGATGCGCGTCTCAGCATTCAGCGATGGCGGAAAACTCGCCCCGCACGTAAATCAAGGACGTGAGCTCCTCACCTGGGCCGGGCCTTGGGCGGGGCCGTCCTTCCACATACCTCCGGGTATGTCTCCGCCTATGGGGCCGAGACGTTTCCCTCCCCCTTCGAGGCCCCTGCCAGGCATGGGCAGGCCGCCACCACGGCCGCCTATGCAGCCGGTCATTGTCAGCATGACCCCGAAGGCCGCTACCAGATACAAGCTCGGCTTTGAGCTGGATTTTGGCTCCCCTTTGACCCGCGAGGAGGACCTCGGCGAGGACCGCAAGGACCTCGGAGCGTGGGTCGCTCTGTGGACCTACGCCACGGACACCAACTTCGCCACCGACTCAGGAGGCATTCCGTCGTACGACGACGCCTCGTCAATCAGTTCCGGGTCGTCCTCGTCTTCCTCGGATTTCATCGTCGACTGATTTCCCGTACCTGGTTGCCGTCGTCTGGCTTTTCCTCGGAGGGTTGGTGCTTTCCAATTGTTTCCAGGCGTCACTCCTTCTCGCCCCAGGGCTCGGTGCCTTATGATGATGCCGTGATATGATAGTTTTTTTGATCTTGGAATTGACGCGCTCTTTTTTGTGACTGACCCGTTCCTCGCTTGACGTGTCTCGTTCCCATTCGTGTCAATGTCCCACACACTGTACGGTCTTGATTCACCAGAATGGTCTGACTATCGATTCTTTAACTCATCTTCTCCACATGAACGGTCACGGGAATCTGATTCAGAAGAAACTCAGTGGCTAGCCCCTGCTGGATCGTCTCGCTTCCCTGTGATATACAATGACCAAACCATACTTCTTTTCGTTATTTTATATAGATGGAAAAGAGGAAGAAGAGGAAGAAAATGTATTTGGGCCATTCGCCTTCGTACCAACGCCCATGTTCCTTTCCGGCACGCAACAAGTTGCGCAGGCATCACCGAGTAAGCGCCAGCAACGAAGCCACCAGATGCAACATGGCTGGAGCGCGATGCCGCATTCTAGGCCGTCAACGAACTCAGCTAATGTGCCATTTCGCACGGGTTGTGATGCCGACTTTAGTAGATTGGCATGTATTTGCGGCGGAGCGCTCACGTCTTGTACTGTGATACTAGGGGGGAGGGGGCTCCCATCCAGGCGCGAACCAGGACAGCAACGCCCGTTTGCCCGTCAAAGTCTTCTTGTACCATCTATCCGTGCTTGATAGGGGTGAGGGCATGCATCTCCTTACACAGCGCGAAGAACAAGGAGAGGGGACCTCGTCGTTTGGGCGGTTCCAGCCGCAGAATCAAGCGTTCTTTTCCCCTCCTGCTTAGGGAATACAGATCAAAGTCGTTTCGGGTGGCTACATATCTTGGCACGCGCAGACACAATAATATATGGGAGGGGCCAAGATGGCCAAACGCTGGTCAGCCGCTAAAAGAATTGACGATAGGGAAAAAAAAAAAGATGTCCCAATTGCGGCTCAAAAAGAAGCCAAGTCGTTCAGATTAGAGTTGGAGGTTCCGCACCTAAAACGGAAGGTGGCAGCGGCGGCCCGGCAGAGTGGGACCAGTGCACACACCAACTCGGAAGCCGGCGTCCGTTGCTGGGGGCGCGAGGATGGGGCCGGAACAAGGAAGGCATCGTTGCCGCTCGGCTGCCAGGGGCACTTGGCCAAAAACGGCTGGGATAGTAAAATTAGAGAGATGTCAATCGGAAAAAGGGGCAACCTTGGAAAAGGCAAGGTGGCGCTGGAACGTCCCTCGGTTCACGACCTAAGGAACGCTCTAGCTTATCGTTGGCGGCTGCTGTGGCGGTCGAAAGATGAGAGTTTAAACGGTTCGCTCAGGCCTAGGACAGTTTATATGTGATACGCCTCGATTGCATCGGCAGTGCACCCTGGGCCTACATGATGCTACGCACTGGCACCTGGTTTCTTGCATACGAGAAACTGGATCGGTTCATGCAAACTATCGACTTGGAATTGTGTTCCGTCAGCGAAACTGCATACTGGCCCTTCTGGCTGCGTCATGTTCCATGATCCGTGCAATCATCGAGGTGGTGGTAGCTGAGTCAAAGCGCGCTTCACCGCCGGCGTGCCTATCATCAAGAACCTGAAGCGTTGATGCGAAATAGTAGCATTAAGTGACAGACCTCGTAAACATTAGCAGGACCAATAAGCGCTGATAAAGACTGCCAGGAATGCAATCCGGTAACAGTCCTGCCCAAAATGAGACACGTCACAACGGTGAGTTGGGGAGACACGGAGGTGGAAAAAGAAAGAAGGGACCGTTTCGAGAGCTGGGGTTAAAGCTCGTATTTCGAACTGAGCGGGGTGCAGTCGATGGTGATCCCAGATCGTGCACGAAGGCTCATTTATTGTACAGTAACGTAACGCGGGGAACCGGGGCAGGCAGCCCTTCTGGAGTGGAAACGGCGGGACCTCGTGGAAGGTGACAAACATGCCCGTCAGTACCTTGGATTGTGCCCGATGACCCGGCCAGGAAGAAGCCGCATGGGAAGCAATCCTCTCGTTCGCTGGCCCAATCGATATCTTTCGGGCCTATGATGTTACGACCTAGCCGATGACCCAATAGCCTGAGGCGAATCGCAGACGACAGAGACTGGCTCGAGCCATGTGGCCACATTGATGGCGATACGAGCTGTCGCAGTGCTGAGGGAGGGGGGCGGAATTCCTTCGACCAAAAAGGGGGTGCCTGAAAACGCCAATATTGGCAAAGGTGGCATGGATCGATAGAAGGGGAATGCTCGCAACTGTGGTGCAACATCTGACGAACCTCTGCCAACAGAGATCATACGAGCCATATACATGTCATGGTGCTCAAGGACTTCGGAGCGGTAGACGGGTCGGACTTGGCCTCGAAGTACGAAGGAAGGGTACGTGAAGTGGTGGACTTGACCTAAGACAAAGCTTACAGGTTGGCGAGGCAGGGGTCATTGAATGAGGTGAGCGAGAGCACCATACGAGAAGAAGAAGAAGAGAATTAACGGGCGGTGAGGGGCGGTCGTAATCCGGGCGCGCGAGAAGCTGACGCAGTGCCGTAGTCGACAGTGTATCGGAGCTATCTGCCTGCCATGGGCGGCTAAGAAGCATCTCCGGACTACTACGCTGTGAGATTCGGCCGAGCTTTGCAGTGAAAAGCAATAGAGAGAAGGGGAGCTCGTCGTTCCAACCCGTTCAAGTTTGCGTGCGTCATGCGTTGTTCGTTAGTACGATCGCGTGTGTGTGTAGGAGACTGACTAGAGCCGGCGCTTGAGCCGCTGCCGTCGCGGCCAAAAAGGCTAGGTAAACGAAGGCAGCGACGACGACGGCAACACCGACTGACATATTGCATCTCCTGGTGCCTTGAGCGGTGAGTCTGTGTGTTGTGTTACCTATGTCTGTGTCTGTGTCTGTCTGTGGCCTGAGGCACTAAGCTTTTCTTGACATGGATGTTGGGCGTGTCAGGTCAATACGTACCTGCCTGTGCGGCATACTACCTACCTACCTACCTAAGGTACCTACCTAGGTATGTAGGTATGCAAGTAGTAAGAGGGACCACATTGAATACGTACCTCCACGCCTTCTTCCATCAGACCTGAATTAATAGCCCGGAGCAAGTGCCGACCTACACTGTGTGGCTGTTGACACATGCCAACTGCCGTCACACCTTCCTCGCGCCGCGTCACAGTGCCTGTTGTTGGACAGACTGTGCACACGCTCCTTCCCCCTCACCATACCTACTACGTAGCTAGCTACTCCTTCATGTCAGCTTTGCCCCGGTCACAGCCTTCCCGCGGTTACCACCCAACAACAACAACCCCAATTCCGACGTCGCGTCGCAATACCCGCCAACTCAAGTAAGCTTCTTTTTTCGAACCCTTTCAACGTCATTCGCCAAGCACCGGTATTGCGTCCTGCACCTCATCATCCCATCTCCCATGTCCTTGGATTCTTGTCAAGGTATCCTGGTCGAGAAGCGGCTGACTCCTCCTCTCCACATCAGACCATCATCGTCTGGTCCCGTCTTCTTTCGTCTCGATGCACTACTATCTACTTAGTAGCCAGTCTGGTGTGCTGCAGGGCAACAACCACAGTGCCAACCACCTGGTGGAGGATTCCCTCCCAAGCATTTTCTTACCTAGCTAACCCTAAAAATAGCCCCCAAAGACCCTATGTTCGGGACGGCAGCCTCAACAGTCGGGTGAATCTCAGTACTGAGATGACCAGAGCAGATGGCGCTCGATACGAGACACCGGCCATGTTGCTGAGTACATGATCCGGAAAGGGCTGGCTCCAATACACCTCGATTCGCCTACCAACCATGCAGCACCCTGCATTCGCTCGATGGTGCTGGCCTGCCCTGAGTGTAATTCACCTGGTCCGACGTTCCCGTCTCTGGACTGGCTCCATCGTTCTGCTCCTGTAGGGTCCGATCACCTCACTAACCACTTGACATGCATCAGGAATCATGCTTTTGCTTTTTCCATATTCTGCCCTCGTATCTGCGAACCTGGTCCCCGATTTCACCTTCCCCTGCCTAGCCATCCATTTCCACCTCACCGCCGAGCACCTGTCCTGTCACCGATAATATCACTTTGGTCTTGCTACGGTCGACTTCTGTTCACTAAACCCCTCTGCCGAATGGGCCGCCATGGCACCTTCACACCGTTGATGCATTCCGTTTCTGACTCGCCGGCCTAACGGGCTCCCCCGCCACGTTGCGTTTCTCCGAATCCTGCAAGGCTTACATCTGGACTGATACCGTCCACTATTGCTGCCGGTTCTCCCATCTATGCATCGCCATGTGATGCCGGCTTTCCATTCCGTCCCGGTCCCCGACCAGTCACGCCGCGTGCTTCTTGGATGCGGTCATACCCCTACTGGCCGCTACGAGAGTCCATTCCCCCGTGATCACCTCGGGACCTCCAAATTATCATTGCAAGCTGGCAATCATGGCGGATGTTATGCTGACAGTCGTCTGCAAGTCGAGCCAAGCGCCCGACGAGACGTTGCGACCCGATTGGCGTATACTCATCCATGAGTGCCGGACCATGTTATGACATATGGCTCGCCTCCGAGAGGCCTGTCAGCCCATTCCTTCCTTCATCTCTGCCTCCGCCCCACGAACAAATCAAAGCTTGGCTGTGGTTCATATTCGTAGGGCAGAGTTTAGCGTTGTCAAATACGGATATTGGGCCCAATTTGGGGATCTGACACGATCGCTCCCCGCTAGCCAAGTCTGTTGCTTTCCGTCTGCCTAGCTACTGCCCCTCCCCCCTCCTGGCTAAGCCGGCGCTCAGCCTCACCCGCAATTATTCACAACTGACGTCTCCATACTACACATCTAGTGCTGGCTCAAAGCTGACCTGAAGCATGGTGCATAGACCATACCGTCTTCGTAGTACCGCACGATCGTCCCCACTTCCAAGACGCCTTGGCTTATTGCTCCCTCCATGTCAGAAGGAGTCAAGGTTGCTGCTTGAGGGACAGGGGTGGATGCACCTCATCTCAACTCACACGTCTTCTCACTTGCATCATGGCATAGCTGAAAGACCGCATGCCACTCGGCGTCCTTACACATGCAAGTGCGTCAAGACTATTGATTTTCTTCCCCAAAAAGATGCCCACGTCTAGTACGAGGCATCGTGCTGGTACACAATGTGTATATAACACCTTCTATCCGTCCGATATTTCGACGAGAATTCAGATCATCAACTCACTCGCTCATATCCTACTCGTTTTTGTTCTTCCACTCTCACCATGTTTTCCACAGTACTGAGCTCTAGCCTTGGGGCTGTTCTCTTTGCCTCTCTCGCACAGGCCAACCCCATTCGTTCAGTCGAACCAAGGCAGGCAGGTTGCGGCTCCAATGGTCCTGGTAATCGGGCCTGCTGGAACGGAAACTTTGGCATCAACTCGGATTTCGAGATCACCGCACCACCCCAGGGAAAGTTGAGAACAGTAAGCATCTCTTTCTTCCCGACGCATCATCGCGTGTGCTGAGAAATGTGCAGTTTGACTTCACAGTTAGCAACTTGACCGACATCGCACCAGATGGCGTCCATAGGCCGGCCATGCTAATTAACAACCAATTCCCCGGTCCGACGATCGAAGCGGACTGGGGTGACTTTGTTCAAATCCACGTGCACAACCAGCTCCAGAACAATGGCACCTCTTTCCATTGGCACGGCATGCACCAGCGCAATTCGAACGACCAGGATGGCGCCAACGGCGTCACCGAGTGCCCCATCCCTCCCGGGCAGAGCAGGACGTACTCTTTCCAGCTCACGCAGTACGGCACATCATGGTAAGCGTGTTTCTTTGTACAAGAAGATTCGGGCGGGACCCACATGCTCACCCGCACTCCGCAGGTACCATAGCCACTTTTCTTCCCAGTACGGCAACGGCGTGGTCGGCTCCATCAAGATCAACGGCCCGGCGTCTGCAGATTACGACATCGACCTTGGCCCGTATCCCATCACCGACTGGTACTACGAAACCGCGGACCGTCTCGAGCGCCAGGCCGAGCTCGTGTCGGGCGGGGGTCCGCCGGCCAGCGACAACATTCTGTTCAACGGCAAGAACATCAACCCCTTCGGCCCGGGGGGTCAGTATCAGAAGACCAGGTTGACACCGGGCAAGAAGCACCTTCTCAGACTCATCAACACTTCTGTCGATAACACCTTCACCGTGTCACTGGTTGGCCACAACTTCACCGTAATTGCCACTGATCTCGTGCCTGTCAAGCCCGTCGTCAAAGATAGCCTTTTCATGACTGTTGGTCAGCGATACGATGTCATCATTGAAGCCAACAAGGCGGTTGAGAACTACTGGTTCAATGCAACCGTCGGCGGGGGTGGCTTTTGTGGAGTGACCAAGAACCCGCACCCCGCGTCCGTGTTCTTCTACGATGGTGCTCCCGATAGACTCCCTGTCGACCAGGGCACACCTCCCGCCAACTTGGGCTGCGTAGATACTACAGGATTCACCCCTATCCTCCCTAGGACCGCACCCAAAGACGAGTTCGACCTGAACAAGAAGATTCTTGACGTCAACCTCGCCCAACCGACCATTGACGGCACCCAGGTCTTCCGCTGGACGGTCAGCGGCAGTTCCATTGATATTCAGTGGGGCAAGCCGACCCTCGAGTATGTCGCCGAGGGCAACTCGTCCTGGCCGACGCGCGCCAACATCATTGAGATCCCCCAAGCTTCAGTATGGACGTGGTGGGTCATCGAGAACGAATTCATTCTTCCGCATCCCATCCATCTTCACGGCCACGACTTCCTCTTGCTAGGTACCGGTGACGGGAAGTTCACCAGCTCGGAGACTCTGCAGTTTGACAACCCCACTCGCAGAGACGTCGCGCAACTCCCCGGCGGTGGATGGATGGTGATCGCCTTCAAGACAGATAACCCGGGCGCGTGGCTTATGCATTGCCACATCGCCTGGCATGTCAGCATGGGCCTCAGCGTCCAGTTCCTCGAGCGTAAGGACGACATTTCCCAAGTCTTGGACTTGAAGGCTCTCGCGCCAACCTGCGATGCGTGGAGGAAGTACTACCCGACAGCACCCTGGCCCCAACACGACTCTGGATTGTAAAAAGCGGCTGATTTGGGCTGGCTGAGAGCATCACAGGCAGCACCGGCTGCGTCCAATGGCCTGTGACATATTGCAGCGTGGCGCTTGCCAACACGAGCGCACCATCTTACAAGCGCCGCCGACGCCTCATCCACCGTCATTTTTATACCTCATCCACCGTCATTTTTACACATTGTAGCGGGCTTTCGATCTACTGTCACGTAATCACCCATCCAATGTTGAATACCGAAGGTTCAGGACGGCATGGAACGTGGGCGCTTATGGTCCTGCGCAGAACCACCCCGCCTGTAAAGCAGCCACACCCACCCTGCGACAGGGAGGGAGTGTCGGGCACACACACACACACACACATTCTCCTCACTTGTTTTCAGGATGCGAAGCGATGGTTTGGGGGATAAATAATGTAATCAGTACAGCTGTCGCATTTCATTGGAGTTTTCGTTTGTGGCTTTGGGTTGGGGTTGTCTGGGAGCCAGCGCCTTTTTTCTTTTGTCCGCTACCATCTCATCGTGATCGACACTTGTTATTGGCGTCTGACACGATGCATCGGATGGGTGGGCATTTCTGTATATAATTAGCCAGTATCTATGAAAATATGCGCCTTGTTCCAAGATTTACACTTCTTCTTTTGTTGAATTTGTGTTTGGTTTGGAACACCTGCGCCCTATCAACGAGCTATGCCAATGCAGTAAGCAAACAGTAACCACGCGGATTGGGCGTAGAGGGGGGACACGATGGGCAGGGTCGCCTCGTCTTACGCGGGCGGAAAGGCCGGTCAAATGAAGCAGCCCTCAGCAGCCAAAAGTGCCGAGAGCTGCGGTAGTGGCCGGAGAATATCCACTGATCCGGGATTCTTGATGTCACCCTTTGTCCTTTTGTATACGAGTCCCCTCCCACTTCTCTCTCACCCACTGTGTGTGTGTGTGTGTGTGTGTGGTGTGATATGACTTCAGCCTGCAGGACTACGTTCGCCCGGCCCAGTACCATGGGGGCTTGCGTGCGCTAGGCAGGCATGTCAGCTTCGGTCATGGTTTTTGGACTGGGAAGAAAGGTGTGTGTGTGTGTGTGGCGGTGCGAAAGTGTCAGCTGTCTAGTTTGGGGGTGACAAGGTGAGATTGGTACCGAGCGATGCGGTCCCGGGGCGCTGCGGGAGCTTGGTGGGGTTTAGTGGGGGCCGGACATGGCGGAGGGTCTTTTGGGTCCGGGCGGGGTTCCGGGTGGATTTGAGCCCCCCCCCCCCCCCCCCCCTGTCGGGATCTACGTCTCGATGGGGTGGAATGGACGACACTGGTTTACGGCTTTCTTGTTGAAACCTTTTTGCGGTGGTGCTCTGCGTGGGCGTTCTTGACTCGTTTTTATCTGGCGTTCCTGATGCCGTGTGCGTTCTTGTTCAAGCGCCCTCGTCACGCTTTTGCCGCGATTCGTGGATGCGTTTCTGCTGTGTCTGATGGGAGCTACAAGATAACAACCCGTTCCGTCGCAGATCTCATACCAGACGCCGCTCGAGTCGAACATCAATTATTAACCTTTGCAGTGTTTTGTCCACTGCGTTGGTCGGAGCCGTCTGAGTAGACGTGTTTGCGACGTTTGTGTCGGGCATTAAACCCGCATCGCCTACGCCGTGCGACTGTGAACAACAATGGTCCCGGAGAAGAAAGAAAAAAAAAAATGCGGAGTAAGTTTGCGATCTGAATAGGCAGGTCGACTACAACGGCAGATTCTCTCACACATGTCTATCTAGGGGCCACCCCGCGCGTCCGGATACACGCGCACGGCTTCATTGTATAGGGTGCCGGTGCTCGCCTCTATACAAGTCCAAATGCAAGGAGGGGGGGAGCTCAATCGTCCTCGTCTTCCCCGTCATCCTCGGTGAAACCGGTCGCGTTGAAGTCGTCGTCGTCATCGTCGTCGTCGTTGGCCCTTTCGTCCCGCTTCACCGCCGTACACTCAGAGGGGTCGATCGACGGGCATATAGTCTCCCCTTGCCTCCTCTCAAGGCCGCCGGCCGCCACGTCGGACACGGCGAGTGTCGCTCGGCCAAGTGTGAAAGCCTGGGTGCCATTCAACGTCGTGCCTTTTTTTAGCCATTTGGAACTCGGGAGAACACCGCGGTGTGATGCCCGGGGTGGGGGGGACGGATTCACGGGTTTCTTACCATGCTGAGAGCGACGGCCGGGAGGCCTAGGCGGAGGGAGTGCACGCCATGGCTGGCGGCTAACCCGACGGCAAGGAACGACCGTAGATGCATCGTAGAAAGGAGTTTATATTTTTTTTCCCTCACTCAAGTGAAACCCTTGAGTTGATGGAAAGTGAGAGAATAAGACTAATCAGACGCTAGCTTCATAATAGAAAAAAAGTTGTGACCCGGGAGAAGGGGAGAGGAGATATGCTTTTGCTTTGTCGGGTCTGAACGGACATGTCGCGAAACCTCACGGTTGCTGCCGACGCGGGGTGTCCATCCGTTAAATATTCCCGCTCTCCCCCTGCCACGAGCCGCGGCACGCCGTCGACATGCATCGCCTTCCTTTCCCCGGACTCAGCAGCCGTCCGCGAGAGCTTCCAAGTCCGGGCATGAAACACCGCGTCATGGAGGCCCAAACCGATCGTCTGGTTTCATGCCCGGACGGGAAGAGAGGAGCCTTTCTGAGAGCACTTGTAGGCTGTCGGAGAACGTGTGCGTTCCCTCTGGGAAGGGGGGAAAGGGCCTGCCAAAGGCAACTCGGGCAAAGTCTAAAATGCTCAAGGGCCACCGCCAAGGTCGTCATGCCGCGCCGGGAGCCTTGTAGTTTTGAGAGTTTTATGGGGTCCCGAAATAGACGGAGCCTTTTTCGCGGTCTGGCTCGACAACACAAGCTTTTTCCACAACCGCCCGTTTGGATGGGGGGTGTTGTGAATGTTGGGACTCGGGGGAATTTGCAACTGGATGGGTGCTTTTTGTTCTCTCTCTATCCCTCTCTCTGTCCGTCTCTACGCAGTAAGCGCGGGTACCTTGCTGTCTGGTCGCTGGCCACTGCTATGGACGCTCTTGTGAAACAGACCGCGTTTCCGGCGCGCAAGCCCTCGAAATGCGATGGCGTCGGAGGCGAACTTCGGAGAAGGGCAGCTGGGACTTCGTTGAAGCTTTGGTCAGTTTTTAGGTTTGGCGGGCCGGGCCGCCGCATGATCTGGGCAATTGAAAGAGGACTAGCTGCCATTTTTTCCAGAACCTAGTCGCCGTGACTGCAAGGCAGTTGTGGAAGGTGAAAATGTTCGCACGCGTGAGATATTGCTTTATTAAATTTTTGATATCATTCTTTTTGCCCCGTGACTTTTTTTGGGGGGGGGATGGGCGCTGGGGCGTGACGGACCCCATCTTGGGCCATCAGGGTTCTCCATGGCCAATTATATACAACCTTGTTTTATTTTCCCGACAATCATCTCAGTAAAGCTCCAGGTTTTCCAGATTTTCTAGATGAATCAACCCGTTTGGAGCCTGTCTCCTGTCAGCTGTCTCAAGTCACCGAGGACGGGGTTGTAAGGAAGGCAACTTACCGGAATATACTGCCTCAGGCGGACGCCCGCCTGCGCAAACACGGCCGCCGTCTCCGTGTCCATGCTGTAGCCGTGGGCGTAGACGACTTCCTCGATGCCGACCTGGCAGATCTTGATGCTGCAGGTCAGGCACGGGCACGTGTCGCAGTAGAGCACGGCGCCGTCGCGGATGCGCTCGCGGCCGGCCTCGAGCAGGGCGTTCTCCTCGGCGTGGATGCACAGGCAGGTGGACAGGCCGACGCCGGACGAGTTGCCCGAGTTGCAGCGGGCGCAGCCGCCGTCGGAGCAGTTGCGCAGGCCGCGCGGGGTGCCGTTGTAGCCGGTGGAGATGACGCGCTTCTCGCGGCCGACGAGGACGGCGCCGACGCGGCGCTTCATGCAGTTGGAGCGCAGCGAGGCCAGCTCAGCGAGCGACATGAAGTAGGCGTCCCAGCTCGGGCGCAGGCGGACGGGGTCGGCGAGCTGCAGCTTGCCGAGGGTGGCGTAGAGGTGGGCGAGGGAGGACGAGGTGTTGACGAGGCGGACGGTGGCGCGGGAGATGAGGGGCTGCAGGCCGCCGTGCGGGTCGTAGAGGTGGCGGTCGGAGGCGAGGGCGAAGGACTCGAGGGTGCAGTGCGGATTGTGCAGCGCGCGGAAGCGGGCGTGGCGGACCGTCAGCGGGGCGTCGACGGAGACGAGCATGAAGAAGGGGCGGCGGGAGAGGGCGTCGAGGACGGCCTCGTTGTGCACGTTGGTCGTGACGAAGCGGGACTGCCAGCGCGTCGTGACGTAGTCCAGAAGGGCGTCGGCGGAGGCGAAGGAGAGCTCGCCGGGTGCCGCGGCGCGGAAGCCGTTGGTGGCCGGCTGTTGTGGCGGGGGAGGGTGCGGCATGTTCTTCCTCGTCACGAGAGAGAAAGCGTTGACGATCATGAAACGCTCGCCGGCCTGCCGCGCCGGGCTTTCAGAGGTTCCTTTGCCGTTGACGTTGCCGTTGCCGTTGACGTTGCCATTACCATTGCCGTTGACGTTGCCGTTACCATTGCCGTTGACGGCGAGGGCGGTCTCTTGGACAGGGAGAGGGCAGTCCACCTTGAAATGACCCTTTTGTTTGCAGTTGAAGCAATACGGGCCCTTCTTCTTCTTCCCCTTGGTGTCGGTGGAAGACTGCTGCTGCTGCTGCTGCTGAGGAGCCCTCGACTCTTCGTTGCCGGTGGTGGGCGGGGCGGGTTCCGGCTCCGGCTCCGGAGCACTGTAGGACGGAGTCTCGTCACGCGGCAGAGTTGTTGAGGGGTTGTCCAGACGAAGCAGCTTGAAGCCGTGATGCTCGACCAGGTACTGGGCGACGGTCTTCTTGCCGGCGCAGATGCCTGTTCAGTGTTAGAGAAGCGATTCCCACCTCATGTACAAAGGGAGGGGACGGCGGAGCTTGGCTCAACCCTCCGAGGAAACTCACCGCCGCAGATTCCGATGAGCATCTTGACTAAAACGTTGACCTTCCAAATTGGAGAAACCTAGGTAAATGATTGGGGAGCTTGTCCCCTTGTACGCGTGAATTAAGAGCTGCAACGAGTTCCGGGCTGTTTGCTGGCTGCGTATACGGATACGACGAAATGCAGACAGGCTTTTGCAGGTCAGCCTGGCAACCAGTGTCCAATCGAAAGGCCACGACGCGAAGTCCCCTTCCCTTGCATCTTGCATGAACGCGTCTCCACGCGTAAATGGAATTTCCGCTTCGGGCCCGATCGGTCTAGCACGTCCCGCGTTCAGTCCATCGGACCGAGATCTCCCGATGTTTAGCCGACCGGACCTTGTAGGGCATGACATAACCCCGTGCACCGAGCTCCCCCACCTTGGAAGTCCAGCTGGGCAGCTGCTCTTCTGGAGGGGCTTCTAGAGGGGCTTCTGGAGGGGCCATCTGCCTCATCCTGTCAGACCAACCATCTCACACCCCTCCCCCAAGGAAGCTCTCACCAGCCTGGTTCTCGTGACTCGTAAGGCGCAATCTGACTTCTTGCACAGGTGACTTTTTTCTTTTCTTTTTTTTTCTTTCCAGCTCAACATTATCAAGCCCTTTTCCAGCTACTAGCGACTTCTCCCGGACCCTGCGCTTTGTCCGGAGTCCATCTGAAAGTGCGACCTGCCTGATCCGTCGCATACGGAGCGAGCGTCTTGAACCTTTTTGAGTCATTTCGATTCAGAGCAACGTCTGATTCCGGACCTCTCCTCCTACATACACATAACCCCCCTGAGGGTTTCTGGCATATTGTACTGTACGCCTTTCGGCACCAACGTCGCAGCGCTCCCCAAGAACCAACTCCTGGCGCATCGTATCGCGGGCAGTGCTCTTCCAGTCCCACCAGGCGTCCGACAGCGCGCACCCGCCAGAGCTCGCCCGCCATGGCAGCGATTCAATATGCGCCCTTCTCCTCCGAGATCGAACTCCCCTTCTACGCCGCCCTCTTCTCCTCCAAGCTCGAGCATGACAAACTCAACGACTCGGCGCGCCGCGTGCTCGGCCAGTACACGACCTTGCCGGTCGAGCCGGGCCAGAGCTGCAAGATGTCGATCCTAGGCAACGCGCTCACCAGCGACCAGTAAGGTGTTCGCAGATGGGCTTGACGTCTGCTTCATATTGACCGCGTCAGGACTGATGAGGAGAGCAGGCCCAACGACGAGCATGTCCGCGCCGAGGGCTGGATCAAGAATGTCAACACGATCGAGGACTTCAAGAACACCGACAAGCAAGCTATGCTGAAGCTTGCAGCAAGACACGTAGGCTGGGCCCGTAACGTTGGCGGGGATGCCGTGGGTTTACCTGACGCTTTCTCTCTAGGTCTGGGACGCCATCAACGACGGCACCATCTACTCCGTTCCCTCCCTCCTTTCGTCCTTCACGATCCTCTCATACGCCGACCTGAAGAAGTATAAGTTCACGTACTGGTTTGCGTTCCCGGCATTGCATTCAGACCCCCAGTGGAAGCGTACAGGCCCGATTGGCCGCCTTGATCCCAAAGAAAGCACGGCGCTGGTCGATCGGGTAGGCACTTGGCAAGCGAATCGCGACAAGAGGCAGAACGGCTTCTTCCTCGCCAAGAAGGCCCGGGGCGTCGATGTTAGCGATTTGGATAAGGATGCAAACAGCGACCTCCACGACCTCAACGACGCTTTTGGCTACGTGTGGGAGGTTGCCAACCTCGGCGACTTTGAGAACAGTTTCTTTGACGATGTTGCCGAGGAGGACCGGTACGTCGCGTTCGTCGACCCGTCAACGTACCCCGAGAACCCGTCTTGGCCTTTGCGCAACCTCCTGTGGCTTATCCGACAGCGGTTCCGCCTGACAAAGGTGCAGATTCTGTGTTACCGGGACATCAGATCAAGCAGGCATGCCGCCAGAAGCATCATTTTGCCTTTGGAGATGGACCCCGTAGAGCCTCTTGCCGTCACTGAGATGCCCAAGGTCACTGGTTGGGAGCGAGATGGAGAAGGTAAGCTCCGAGCCAGGATCGCGAACCTCGGCGAGTACATGGACCCCGCGCGACTGGCGGACCAATCGGTAGACCTGAACCTCAAGCTCATGAAATGGCGGATTTCGCCGAACCTGGATCTGGACACAATCAAATCTACCAAGTGTCTGCTGCTAGGAGCTGGCACGCTCGGCAGCTACGTATCCAGAAACCTCATGGGCTGGGGCGTCCGCAAAATCACCTTTGTAGACTACGGACGTGTGTCGTACTCGAATCCCGTCCGACAGCCTCTGTTCGAGTTTGAAGACTGCTTGGAAGGTGGGAAGCACAAAGCGCCACGGGCTGCTCAGGCCCTCAAGAGGATCTATCCCGGCGTCGAGAGCGAAGGCCATGTTCTGTCCGTCCCCATGCTGGGCCATCCCTTTACGGACGAGGCCAGAAGCAAGGCGGATTACGACAAGTTGAAGCAACTGATCGACGACCACGATGCCATCTTCCTCCTGATGGACAGCCGAGAGTCAAGATGGCTCCCGAGTGTTTTGGGCAAGGCCGCCGGCAAGATTGTGCTCAACGCCGCGCTCGGGTTCGACTCATTTGTGGTCATGCGGCATGGCGCCGAGCCCGACAACGTCCAGCCAGAGGACAAGGAGCGGCATACGCTCGGCTGCTACTTCTGCAACGATGTTGTAGCACCGGCCGATGTGAGTAGCCGCATGTGAAGGATACTGGGCCTTTGCTAACTTTACGGGTAGTCGCAAAAGGACCAGACTTTGGACCAGCAGTGCACAGTCACTCGACCTGGCGTAGCAGCCATCGCCTCGGCACTTCTTGTCGAGCTCTTTGCAAGTCTCCTCCAACATCCTCTCAAGCAACACGCGCCAGCGCCACAGACATCGAATGACGAAAAGGACCCCGTTGACCACGCTCTGGGACTGGTACCCCATACCGTCCGTGGCTCCTTGCACAACTTCAACAACAAGGTGATTCGCGGCGAGTCATACCCGTGCTGCAGCGCTTGTGGCCCCCCGATTCTCGACGCGTATCGGACCGAAGGTTGGAGATTCGTGAAGAAGGCGCTATTAGAGAAGGACTACGTCGCCGAGCTGTCAGGGCTGGCGGAGGTGCAGCGAGAGGCCGAGAGGCGGGCGTCTTCGATGGACTGGGAAGAGGAGGAAGACGGAGCGGACGAGGGAGACGGAGAGTTGATTTAACGGGGCCACGAGGGGTTTTTTTTTTTTTTTCGACCTTGCCAACCAGCATTTTACGGCGGTATAGAACGAGTTTTGGCGTTTCAGGCAGTAGAACATGTGGGCGTCTTGGAACTGTACAGGGGTGCGGGATTTCACGGCGACTTTTTATTTTTATTTTTTAGGTTTGTATGTCTGGCTCACAGTTGGTTACTTTCTACGAAGCTATCAGTAGCATTGGATTATGACGCTGACTAGTCGATCATGACCCATGTCATGCAACGTTCATTCGAGAGGTTCATTCAACAGCATCTAAGCGTATTCAATGAAGAGGTTCATTCCTGATTACATTTATGCCTTATCAAGCTGCATTCCAGTAAGCCTCAGTTGGCTTGACTGTCCTGGTATCTCATTATAGATCAAGAGACGATGATAAAATATGAGATGCACAAGACCAGTGCGGATGACAGGGTTCCCCGCACTAGGTGACCCTCTACTTTCATAAAGTCGCCGGGCCTTCCGTCGTCTCTAACATATTTAGAGTCGTCGCACACCGACATCTGTTAGTGATGGTTCCTGGTTTGCTATTTTCGGGTCTCTGAGCCGCTTCCCCCCCTAAAGCAGCCGCAGGATCGCCGCGGCACGACCCAACGCGCTATACACTACCGGGGATTACTTAAGTGCGCTAAGGCTCAGCGTGTCCATCTCTTCTCGTCAGGTGGTCCGCAGTTCCGTCGTAACACACGACCACAGACCATTTATTCGCCCCTTTACGAGTAGGAAGGGGAAGGAAAATACAGTGTCCGAAATCATCTCATCCGTCATCACCTCTTGTGCGTTTATATCGTTACGTTACTGGTGGCCCACGGGTATCTCCGTCCCTGACAACCGAGTTTTATACGTCTCGTTTCAATAAAAGGATGTAGAAAAGTATCCAAAAGAAGTCGGACAAGCCCAGACTGAGATTGCTCCGAGGCCGCGATCGGGGAGTGAGACGACGTCCCCTACTTGACGAGGTTAGAAGGGTCAGACAACGACGACGACGACGACGACGACGGCGACGACGGCGGCGCCGGCGGTGGATTCATTGGCGACTGCGCATGACGAAGCAGGCACGCTTGAGTTTCGTACCTCGTCGACATCACGCGTGCACGGCACGCCCCGGCGTTTTCCCGTCGACACACATACACACACCCACACGCATCACACATATCCATCACATATCACAACTCGGGTTCTCATTCATTCCGCCGCCGCACACCCCCCCTCATAAGACGCCATGCTGCGCTCCATGCTCCGGCGCTTGACGTCGGACCGGACTGAATCGGTCGACGACTACGTCGGCGTCGTCGTCCCGCTCGTGGAGGCGCACCTGCACAGCCACTCGGCGCGGACGGGCAAGTGCGAGTTCGAGGAGCGGCCGAGCCAGGACGATGATGGCAATGGTGACGGTGATGACGACAACGGTGATGACGGCGACGACGACGACGTCAAGGACCAGACCGAGAGCACGGGGATGCTCGAGATGAGCGCCGCCGAGTACACGATTGAGGGGCTGAGGAAGGAGGTGAGGAGGGGTGGGAAGGGACAATGGACCGAGTATGAATGTGAGTTTTTCTTCTTCTTCTTCTTCTTCTTCTTCCCCTTATTTTATTTACTCTTGCTGGGGTGTTGGAGGGTGTCGGTAAGCCGGTGTGCTGATGAGGCTGGGTAGTGAAGTCGAAACTCATCAACAAGGCGGTTCAGGATATCGGGATGGGGAGGTATAACTGGGAGCTCTTCGTCCTATGCGGATTCGGATGGTTCGCAGATAAGTAAGTTTGGAAACACCCACTGTCTCTTTGGGCGTGAGAAGATTACTGACTATTGCCAGTCTATGGATGCACGTAAGTTGACTAGCAGGCTTCCACCGCCGAAGGGACACTGACCACACACCCAGGGCGTCGCTCTCACACTCCCATCTCTATCTGCCGAGTTCGGCATCTCGGAGCAACGCGTCCGCTACACAACCTCGTCCATCTTTCTCGGCCTCTGCTTCGGCTCCTTCGTCTGGGGCATCGGCTCCGACGTGCTCGGCCGCCGCATCGCCTTCAACCTCACCCTCCTCATCACCGGCGTCTTCGGCATCCTGCTGGCCTTCGCCCCGACCTGGGGCTCGGTGAACGTGCTCTTCGCCGCCCTCGGCTTCGGCGTCGGCGGGAACCTCCCCGTCGACGGCGCCTTGTTCCTCGAGTTCCTGCCCGACGCCTCGAGCAGCCTGCTGACGCTGCTGTCCGTGTGGTGGCCCGTCGGGCAGCTATCCTCGTCGCTGGCCGCCTGGTACTTCATCGCCAACTGGCCCGCCGACCAGGGCTGGCGCCGGTTCGTGCTGACCATCGGGCTCGTCACCTTCTTCATGTTCGTCGTGCGCTTCGTCGTCTTCCGCCTCTTCGAATCGCCCAAGTTCCTGCTCTCCAAGGGCCGCCAGTCCGAGGCCATCGCCGTCGTCCACGGCATCGCTTCCCGCAACGGCGCCAAGACCTGGCTCACCGAGGAAGTCCTCGACGCCGTGGCGGACGGCGTGACCGGCGACGACGACGACGAACGCTCCGAGCAGGAGCGCTCCCGACGCAGCCGCGCCGGCGTGCACCGCCGGCCGGGGAGAACCGCTGACGCCCTTCGCGAGAGGATGAGGGCCTTTTCCGGCGAGCGCCTCCGCCCCCTCTTCAAGACCCGCACCCTCGGCCTGGCGACCGTCATCGTCTGGTTTGTCTGGGCCACCATCGGCATGGGCTACCCGCTCTTCAACGCCTTCCTCCCGCAGTACCTCTCGCACGGCGGCGCCGCCCCGCCGCCCGAGGGCTCCCCCGACGCCGGGGCGACGCCCATCACCCCGGATACGTACCGCACCTACGCCATCACCTCGGCCGTCGGCGTGCCGGGCAGCCTGCTGGCCGCCTACCTCGTCGACCACAAGTCGCCCTATCTCGGCCGCCGCGGCACCCTCGCGTGCTCCTCGCTCGTCTCGGCCGTCTTCCTCTTCTTGTTCGTGCGCTTCGGCACCTCGCCCGCGTCGCAACTGTTCTTCTCGTGCGTCGAGGCCTTTTCGCAGAACATCATGTACGGCGTCCTCTACGCCTTCACGCCCGAGATCTTCCCGGCCCCCGTCCGCGGCGCCGGCACCGGCGTCGCGAGCTTCCTCAACAGGGCCATGGGCCTGCTGGCGCCGGTGCTGGCGGCCAACGTGCTGGGCGACGGGACGACGACGCCCATCTACCTGTCGGGCGCGCTGATCCTCGCGGCGTTTGTGGGCATGTGCCTGATCCCCATCGAGACGAGGGGGCGGCAGAGGCTGTGAAGGTGGGGCGCGCTCGGTTTTGCCCGGCGTAGGAGGGGGAGGAGAAGAAAAGAATTGTTGCTGTAGATCTAATGGTATTTGTTTTCGAGATCACTCAGTGAGTCCTTGGCCCAGGCCGCCAATGCGAGAGCCCTTGATGTGATTTACTAGCCCCCTCCTCCCCTCCCCTCTTCCCCTTCTCAACAGCACGCCTTGCGGAACACAGGGAGCTTCCTCGAATCATTGAGCTTGAGTAATTCGACCGCGGCAAGAGCCCCTTCCTTACCCAACTAGCCTCCACGCCCGGCAACTTTTGCGTCGAACTCTAGAGCATGTCAGGTGCATGAAATCCAGCTTGAAGAAAGATTTTGGGCGCTTGAGCGTTTTCTGTTCAGAGGATGCGGGTTCTATCGTCCTACAACTGTTGCGGTGCAGGGGCTGCGCGACCACGAGGCAGAGACGTTGATGGGCGAAGAATCCCGAATCAGGGGAGGGGGGGATGTTTCTGATGGTAATCAGCTAGAAAGCGGTAGTTCACCATCGCGAAAAAGGCAATTGGTGATTTCGTCCCTCGCCCTTCCTCCTCGTGCCCTCCTGACTCGCAGACTACATCAACACCTTGGCGAAGGCGTCGCCCAGCCCGCGCTCCGCCAGCCAGGCCTCCACGGCCTTCATGTCGCCGCGGTTCGCGCGCTGGCCGCGCCTCTCGCCGCCGACGGAGTCGGTGACCTCGCGCATGTCCGGGAAGGCGCGGGCGGCGACGCCGCGCTCGCGGTGCCGCTCGCTGACCTTCTTGTGGTGCGCGGGGATGTCGCCCCAGCTCTCCGTCTTGATGAAGGACATGTAGTCGTCGATGGCGCGCGAGCCGCCCTCGAGGCAGAGCAGGCCGGGCTTGCCGGCGTAGAGGAAGCCCGTGAGGCCGTAGCCCGGCGCGTGGGCGACGAAGTCGTCGCGCTTGGACCGCGTCGAGATGGAGGGGAAGTAGAACCACACCCGGACGAGGGGCTCCTCCTCCGCCTCCGCATCTCCCTCACCGCCGGCGGCCGCACGCTCGAGGTACTCCGCCGCCGCGTCCTTGACGACCTCGATCGTGCCGAACAGGTCCTCCCCGCCCCCCTCGGCGACCCTCGCGTTGAGCTGCGCCGTCGCCGCGCGGCTTAGCCACGCCGGTTGGCGGACCCGGACCCTGATCCGCGGCGCCTCTCCCTCATCCTTCTCTTCCCCCGCTGCGCTTTCTACTTCACGGGCGAAAGGCACGCCGATATCCAGCTGCAGCGCCTTCGGGCTCGACGAGCCTTCTTCTTGGGTGATGGCGAGGGTGAGCAGGATTGTGACCTGCGGGGGCCTGGCGAAGGGCGGCAGCGGCGGTGACGACGGGTCCTCAAGGCGAGACCTGAACAGCGAGAGGGTTTCCTCCGATTCCCTCTCGATTGCGACCTCCCCCTCGGCGGGGTACATGGCCGTCAGGAGGTCGATCTGGCCGACCTGGTGCTCGACCAAGTCCGTCGGGAGGAGGCCCCATAATGGCGAGGCCGCCATCGTGACTCTGGGTCGCTTTTGTCCTCGGGGCTTTGCTCGATTCACGAAATCGTACAAATAGAGTAGAGTTTGGAAGCAATTTTTCCAATAAAAAAAAGCTCCTTTTTTTTATTCCTTTTTTCCCTTTCCTCTCTTTACACTGACGTTTTGGACGATCACCTGGGATACGCAGAGACTGAGAGATTTTCAAACTCGAGTTTGAGCCACAGACATCAGCCACAAACGCCACACTTTCCTCTCTCGCGATATCAATGTTTCCCAACGTCTTTGATCCAGTATAGCGTCATAATACTACTAAACGGTCATATATCTTTTTCTTCTTCTTTTTGTGTGAATGGATGAGAAGTTGGCTTTTTGATTCTAGCTTGTGCGTTGCTGTTCACTTTAGGCGAACGCGACACATGACCGATCACAAGCAGTGGTAACGTCACCAAAGCGCAGCAAGTCACCCTCTGTGCTAGTGATGACGAGTAAAGAAAAAACTACTTTGCAATACACTTGTATATTGAGCCTCTAGCAGCTTTATGTTCGATGTGTATCCTCTCTATCTGTTGCCCTTGGCACCCGCAGGCGCATCGACCCTCCGCTTCTGGAATGACTTGCCGATGGCATCTCTGACCATCGGATCCGCCCGGATGGTGTTCTGCACGAGCCAGTCCTTGACCTTGGAGCGGACACTACTCAGCGCCTCCTTATCGCCGGCGAACGGGGTCATTTCCATCTCCAGCAGCCTGCTCGTTTCGCTGTCGAGGCCGCGCGTGATCGCCTCGAGCCGCTGCAGACCCTCGTCGACGGCGGCGGCCGAGCTCTCGGCCGCCTTGTGCGCCGCCTGGCCCTGCGGATTGATGAGCGGCCCGATCTGGCCGAAGGCGATGTATATCGTGACGGCCGCCTGGCGAGCCAGAGACACGAGCTGGAACTGCAGGTACGGCGGGCGGCGCAGGGCCGTGCTGAGTGCCGTGTTGAAGACGGCGAGGAAGGGCGGCATTTCGGGACGCGTGACGACGATGAGCTCCGCGACGAAGAAGGTGACGAGGATGACCCAGCGCCAGTACCGTCCCCAGTCGAGATACCCCAGCAGGCCCAGCCCGTAGGTGGCGGCGGCCGCGAGGCCGTAGTACGGGATCGTCCCCTGGAATATGCCGCGTGAGACGTAGTCGTGGACGGTCTTGCAGTTCTGCCAGGCGCCGACCTCGGGGCCAAAGCGCTCGTAGGCGAAGCGGCGGGCCGGGTCCGAGAGCGTCTCGGAGGCGGTCTTGAGGTGCATGAAACGCGCAGCGGCGGCGCTCGTGTCCCCGCCGATGCCCGCCTTATCCGGGTGGTAGACAGCGGCGAGGCGACGGAAGCGAGACTTGATAATGCGCACCGGGGCGGTTGCGGCGACGTCGAGGTCGGTGTAGAAGGTGCCCTGCACGCGGAGGGTGCGGTCGGCCTCGACGAGGGTGTAGAGGAGGTAGAAGGAGACGACGAGGATGTGGATTCGACGACGGTGCATCGCGTACTTTGCGGAACCGGGCTGCGGCTTGGGGTCTCCGGCACGGATGACGATGCCGTAGTAGATTGACTGCACCCAGCCGGTGGCTAGCTGCGAAGGAGTCAGTCTTGGTGATGGCGAGCACGGGGTTGACGAAAGGGATTATGGGCGGGGTGCGCGTACATTGGGCAAGAAGGCCCAGCCTAGGAGGGAGAGGACGTTAGACATGATGGATCGCTGTGCATCACTGACGTGGAGTTGAAGACGCGCAGAGAGAGAGAGAAAAAGACCGAAGCGTAAGAAGCCGCGATAAAAAGGTGCGGCGGAGGGGGAGGTTGAGAAATCTGATGGCTGATTAAGGTGATGTCAATTCGCGATCAAGCTTGGGGACTCGCTGGCGTTTTCGACATGGGAGGAAGCGCCAAGAGCTGACCTCATTCCAGCCGGACCTGGCCTAGGAGCCGCCCCGATCCCTGTCCGGACGGGGGGCGGTTGACATGGGTGTGGTTGTTGATTATGTCATCAAGACGTCGAATGATTGACGCGAAAGTGTGCAAGTGGCTTTAGGGCCCATTCAGCTACGGACTGCCAGGATAAGGTTATATGGGAGCAACCGTCCTCTTCACGGGATAACCAGGCTACTAACATTTGTTCTGAAATATTTGTGTATTTGTGTGTGTACCCGAGATCTGTTCGGGGTCAAAGCCTGGATTATCTGGAACTTCACAACTCTTGCGCCTGCTGATGTTGTAAGTGAGCCGTATTTGACATTCCTTTAGTAATTGTACGGCCGACCTTCGCCATATGGTTGTCGATAACGAAAGGTAGGATAGTTAAGACAGATTCTCGGAGCTAATGTTCTCCTAGTGCTGCGTATTAACTAATCCTATTTCCCTCCGCAGTCAGACGAAGGCTTCGCGACACATTGTCCGGCTGGCGGTCGGAGGTAAGGCAGGGAAGGGCCTTGGTTACCAGTCCAAGCATTTATGGTAAGAACGTAAATGGGCAATATCATCTCTGACCAGTCAGAATGTTTGTTGCATTAGATTAGGTTGGATAGATCCGAGGAGGGTTGACTACCTATCCAGACATTCCGCTTTTTCAATCAATCATTTTACAGCGTTCAGTCACACACCGGCCTAGTTATTCCAAGAAACAACGGCTTCTTCCAGCGAGGGCAGGACAACAAGGGCCCAAGAGCCGGCAACGGCGCGCAACACCACATCCAGGAGAATTCTTGACCGGAAGCAAAGATAGGTAACTATCGGGTAGGAAAAAAAGAAAGAAAAGAAGAACAGAAAAAAGAAGCCACCTCCCGGATCCACTGCCAGCAATACCCTTCACCGTTAAGTAAGTATGGAGAAGCGGAACGACCTTTGCTTATGCGACTCGGCCAAGAAACCGACATGACACACGCCGAGGGCACAGTGCAGGGCATCAGATGATCGACCATTTTCTGTAGTGTAATCATAAGTGCAGATGTGGGAACATCGCGTCATGCCGATACAGCCAGTAATATATATCGTGCCGCTAACCAAACACTGCCTTCCGGGCAGATGAATTGGTAATTATACCTAATATAACAAACTTCTGGCGCCCGAGTCAATTTCGAAATCCGGTATGGCGTCGGATCGGGCTGGCTCCCCGCAAGGTCACTAATCTCGGTCCGGAACCTAAATAGGCAGCTGACATCCGTCCCTTTTCCGCGTCAACAGCTAAACGCGCCGAACTAGCAAGTTATCACAACAACACGTCCATAAACCAGACGACGCTATTCAGTCTCAGCACCTTCGACACACCACACCTCATAGCCCTCATCGTGACCATGGCCGATCCCACAACTGCGCAAACCCCGCAGGAAAAGAAGCAGGACGCAATCGTGGCCATCGACACGCCGGCGGCCTTCGACGATCTGCTCTCCGGTAACACCTAGGTCGTCGTCGACTTTTACGCCACGTGGTGCGGGCCGTGCCGTACCATGGCACCGGCCTTTGCACAGCTGGCCGCCGCACACGCAGCCCCGGGTAGCATCGCCTTCGCAAAGGTCGATGTCGACGCTGTGCCCGACGTGGCCAGCCGCTATCGCGTGGCCACCCTACCCAACTTCACCCTGATCAGGGGCGGTGAGCCGTTCCAGGAGGTCAAGGGTGCGTACCCGGCGCAGCTCCGGAGTGCGGTAGAGTCGATGGCGAAGGAAGCCAAGGAGAAGGGCGGGGAGGAAGGAAATGCGGTAAAGAAGGCCTTGGAGGACGAGAATTGGTGAGTCGGGGCACGTATCTGGAGCGCACCCTCTTCGACAAGATCCGGACCCAGGTTGTTTCTGAGATAGACTGCTACGTCGAGGCCGGCGAGGACCCAGCTTCAAACACGTACCGGTCGCGACAGCAGGTCATACATGGCCGCCAGCAACGAAAACCGGTAGCCATAGAGTTTCAAAAATTGCTTTTCTTGAACAGTGACTCACTTTTAACACTGAGCCTGTGCGGCCAAGAGTACCTTCCGGGTGTCTACTCAAACCATACTGGAGGGAAGGTGTATTGTAAGTGGTGTATCAAGACTCAAGCAGCAGCAGCACCGACCGCATTCCTTCCATAACAAAATCCTATCCCCTCCTAAGTCTACCAAAATCCAAAAGGCCTTCTGTTCAAGTGGGTTAGAGTGTCAATTCCTCCGTTTTGGTTCGATTCACCCATGGCCCAAAGCATTCAATTGAATTTTGCTATCTATGGCCACCGTTGCACATTGTCAACTAAAGTGGCCTAGGACGTTGAGATCTAGCCCCATATTTTGATGCCAATGTTAACCAATAAAACCAGGCCTACAGAAATTCAAGAAAAATATAAATTCAAAAAATTCTCCCTGTAACGTAACAACCCCCCAAAAAGAAATCCCCTCAGAGTTACTTACCACTGCTTCAAATATCATTTATCCCAGGGGATATCAACGAGCGTTTTCTTCACCGGGGAAGCTTAATGCCTTGAAGATTTTGAGAGAAAATGTCACCTATATAAGGGTCATTTCGGTCGGCGAGAAGGAATGAAGCAATGGAGGAAGTCAGTCATCTGGCTCCTTCTTGATGTCTGAGGAATTGTGGGTGATTCCACCCCTCAGAACGAAGGGACCGAGTTTGGACCTTCCCTTCCCCTTGGGAAGCGGTTCCGGTCAGGTGCCAGCTTTTCCAGAAAACGGTGATGAAAAATGGGTTTCGAGAGCGGCAGCCCTCAAGGGTTTGCATTAGACTCCGACCAGAATTCTGAGTTTTCAATGTTTGATTGAACGCGCGTTACGTTGAACGTCAAAAGAACAACTTTTTCATCTGTGCAGTTGTCATAAGGAACGAGCCACCTCGTTTGGTATACTGCCGCACGATACCGCCTCCAGCCAAAGGTCGTTCCGCGATTCCAGAAACGAGGCAGTATTTAGCCACCACGTGTGGCGTAACACTATCTAGAAGAAACAAGCCACTTTCAACCACATGAATTGCCCCTATTGTGAGCCTACTTTGTGATAGCAGTATGTTAGACGCTAATAATTGAGCCTCCTCTATTCACCGCGACGCCCACCTCGCTTCTCCAAGCCACGGAGCGGCTCATTCAGCATCTTGGTCTGGTGCAGCGTGAAATAATCGAGCAGATTCGGGCAGATAACGCGACTTTTGCCAATGTTATTCTGCCGCTTGTGCACGCCGAGAATGCCGTGGCTTGAGAAGCCCACGTGCTTGTTTTCTACAAGTCCGTATACCCTGACCCAGAGCTGCGCGACGCTTCAAAAAAGGCTCAGACGCTTCTTGACGACTTTATGGTGGAGAGGGCTATGGACGACGCTATTTTTACGCTGATTGATGCTGTGCTGCGGAAAACTGAAGATCTAGATCTGGAGTCTCTTTGGCTGTTGAGAAAGAAGCACTGTAAACATGTTCGGAACGGCTTGAACCTGCTGCCTGGGGCGCAGAGGGAGCGCTTTGCCGAAATTAAAAGCTAACTGAGCTGACTGACTGGTAAGTTCTGGGAGAATTTAAATGAGACAGATGACGGGATGTGGCTTACCCCTGAAGAGCTGGACGGATTGCCTGAAAGTGCTATTTTACAGCTGAAGGACGGGCAAGGAGAGAACAAGGGAAGGTTTTTTGTATTATTTGAACCTCTATCCTTCTACCTGACACTTAGGTTTTTGAAGAGAGCTGATGTTTGGAGGCGCTTCTATATTGCTGGGCATAACGAGTGTAACTAGAATGTCTTAATCTTCTGGGAGATTGTGCTTCTTTGTGATGAAACCGCTTGTCTTCTAGGGTATTCTAGCTATGCGTTATTTTGCCTTGAGGGTAGAATGGCTCAAACGCTTGTAACGGTTAATACGTTCTTGGATGACCTACGATTGAGACTAGCAGGTGGTGGCTAGCAAGAGACTGAAGCCCTGTGGTAGCTTAAAAAGCGGGACGTTAAATCTTGGGGAGAATTATTTAACGGTTGATTCTTTGATTAGGACTTTTTATATTACAAGTAGGTGATGCTAGAGACTTATTACTTGGTTGATTAGCAGAAGGTTGTAGAATACTACCCCTTGTAGGCTACTATTTCTAGGATGCTGTCTATCTTTAAGAAACTATTTAGTCTTGTTTTCTATAGAAACGTAACAGGCCTTTCTAAATATAGTTAAGAATATATTTAGTATAAGGATGTGTCGGGATATTCAACTGTTCAATGGTGGAGCCGATCCATGGTCACGTGATTTACCATCACGTGACTCACCCCGGCGGCTCACTTACACCACTACAAATATCTACAGTAATAACTTCTTCTTCTTTTTTCCTATTATTTATCTTAATAAGTAACTAATAGTTAATTAAACTATTACTACTTTATAATTATAATCCTTATAATACTAACACTAATTAGTAGTTAACTTTATAGTTACTACTACTATAAATTAGTAAGGATTATTAGAAGAGGCTTATAATACTTTACTTACTATAGTAGCTTAGATTAAAGTATTAAAGTGCTACCTAGCCTAAAGATTATTAGTACCTAAGATCTTATAATACTTAGTAAATAACCCTTTAAGCCTTACGTCTGCTATATAATAACTACTATTACTACTATTAACTTTATTACTTTTAGAAAAGTCCCTTCTTTTATATACTACTTACTTACTAATAACCTTTATAGTATTTAGTATAATTATCTTCTTTTTATACCTAAGTTTCTTTAAGTTCTTTTTCTTTTTATTTTTTAACTTTTTTTCCCTTTAATTATTAAGATTTTTATCTTACTAAGTTTTTATTTTACTATAGTAGTAATAGCCTATATAAGATTATAAGTAAATAAACTTTTATAAGTTTTTATCTAAATAAGATCTTACTAATAGGACTAGCTATAAAGTAGTTAAGTAAGAACTACTTAAGTAATTTACTTTTAATATAATATTTATAAGTAAATAGCTTTTACTAATCTTACCTTTATATACTTTTAATATTATATTATTAGCTAAGCGTAGCTTATAGTAATTATAACTTTTTCCTTTAACTAAATAATTAGTAGCTAAGTGTTACCTTTAGTAAGTATACCTCTTTTTATTCTTTAAGTAAGGTAAAAAAAGTAAAAGTTACTTATATTACCTTAATTTACTTACTTTTTTTTATTCTTTAAATACTTATTAATAACTATATTATCTTTTTTACTTTTTTTTTTTTTTAAGTAAGGTATAGTTATTAGTAACTAATATAACTTTTACTTAACTTTACTATCCTAATTAATTTAAAAAGACTACTTATTATTTACCTTTAAGTAAGGTATATAACCTTAACTTTTTACTTTTCTTCCTTTAAAAATCTTTAACTATAGTATCCTACTTACTAAAAAGTAAGGTCTATATATGTCTCCTTTTAGAGATAGTATATATCTCCTCTTATTCTTTAAGTAAGATCTACTATAAGGCCTCCCTAGAGCTATCTCTTTATGTTACTAAAGCGTAAGGCCTCCCTAAAGCTATCTCTTTATATTACTAAAGCGTAAGGCCTCCCTAGAGCTATCTCTTTACGTCACTAAAGCGTAAGGCCTCCCTAAAGCTATCTCTTTATGTTACTAAAGCGTAAGGCCTCCCTAGAGCTATCTCTTTATATTACTAAAGCGTAAGGCCTCTCTAAAGCTATTTACTACTATTTATTTATTTATTATTTTATTTCTTTATTTACTTTATCTCTTACTTATACCTCTTTATATTATATTATTTATCTACTTATCTTATTATTATCTATACTAATAGTAGTAATTCCTCTAATATATAGATTTACCTCTAACCCTATAGGTAAGAAGTAAGTGCCTATATTTAAGAGGTTAGTAAGGCTAATAAAGGGTAATAATAGTAAAAAAAAGACTAAGTAAAAGGTAAAGTAAACTATAGGCACTAGCTAAAGTAAAAAAGTATATCTATCTATAAGATATTAAGGATCTATATCTTATCCTAAAGTATAGCTAGCCCTTTATTATTATATAACTATAAGGTATAACTAATTTAGCTAATATTCCTAATAGCCTTACCTAAGTTAAGTAATATAATACCTTAAGCACTATTATTATACTTTAAATAATATAATATAACTTTATATAGCTATATAGTTAATAGCTATAAAGATATACTACTAAAGACTTTAAAAAATAGTTACTTAATACCTTTAAGGGTACTACCTATAAAACTATTATTAAATTTAGAGACTACCTAATATATAGGGGTGTATAGGTATTAATAGTAAAGTTACTAACTATTACTAAATAAATTTACTATACCCTTAAGGCTAATAATCTAAAGGTGTAGACACTTAAGGATATTAAAGAAAAGAAAAAAAAAGTAAGGATTTTTACTTAAAGATTAATAAACCTAACTTTATATAAGATATTATAAACCTACTACTAGAAATAATATTAATATAAGATTAACTAGGCCCCTCTTATATTATTACCCCCTTAGTATAAGTTACTTAAGTCTAGAAAAGTTAATAGAGGCTTATTAATTTAGCCTTATTATATAATAACTTAAATTTTATTCCTTTACTATTTAAGTAGGTAAGTAATACTTACCCTTACCTATTAGTTATACTAGTTACTACTACCTTACTTATAACTTACTAGCTTACTAACCTTATTAAATTATACCTTAATAAGATAAAGTATAGTAAAGGGGTATATAAGTTACTTAAATTAAAGCTTATAATCTTTTATAACTACTATATAAAGGCTAGAATTTAGTAAAAACACTTTATAAACGCCTTCTTTATTATACTTAAAGGTAAGGCTATAAAGTACTATACTAACTATCTTTATAACTAGACTAACTTTATTACTATAGTTATATAAATAAAAAGTAATTTTAAGAATAAAGAGACTTTTTAAGCCTACCTTATTAAGCTATAAAAGACTAATTTAATAAGGACTATCTTAAATAATCTAGACAAAAGTAAGGCTAAATACCTAGAGTTACTTATTAAGAAAGTAACTACCCTTATAAGAATAGTTATAAGGATTAGTACTTTATTTAATATAGCCCTTTATAACTAATTACTTAACTCTTACTATAAGATAGAAAAGTGCTCTTTTACCCTTTTTAATTTATCTTTAATATTTACTAGTATATATAGCTAGCTTTAATTAGTAATTAGTAACATAATATAATTTAAATAACCTATATATTAATACCTAACTAAAGAAGTAGATAATTAATACTAAACTAACTATACTTATAACAGCTAGTAAAGTTACTAGTAATTTAGCTAACATAACTATAGCTATAGTAACTTTATGCTATAGCGCCTTTTTAATAGTAATTTATAGTAATAAGCACCTCTTTTACCCTTATTACTATTTATAAAGAAGTACTATATATATAGTAAGCCTAACTATTAGTTAATAAGGCACTTAAAAGACAAAAGGTAATAAGCTTACTATAAGTATAAAAAGTAGTATCTAATAGACTTTTTACCTAAAGCCTTTAACTACTTTATAACTAACTTTAAGGGATATAAGCTATTTACTTTAGATAAAGAAGGTAACTATATAAAAAGTAATAAAGATAAAGAATTAGGCACTACGTTTTATATATTAATAATATTTTTTAACTTATTTACTATTAATAGGCTTACTCTTTTTTTATTACTACGTAACTAATCTATAACCTATTTTCTTATAAAAGATAACTCCTTATATAAGAATCTATATAATAATAAGCTACCTAACGTAGACGTCTTTA